AAATAATAAAGATGAAAGCAATAGACGCAATTCAAAGCAATACAAAAAATGAAAGTTGAAAACGCAAATTAAACAAAAAAGATTAAAAATGATAAGAAGTGATAGAGGCGAGGAATATGAATCTCCTTTTTGAAGAAATATGTTTGGAAAATAGCATATTCACCAAAAAACTGCCCCTTACTCACCGCAATCTAATGGAATTGCAGAAAGAAAGAATAGAACATTAAAGGAGATGATGAACGCCTTATTAATAAGTTCTGGTTTACCACAGAACTTGTGGGGGGAAGCTATTCTTACAGCTAATCAAATACTGAATCGAGTTCCCATAGCAAAACACAATCCATTCCATATGAAAAATGGAAAGGAAGGAAACCTAACTTAAAATATTTTAAAGTATGGGGGTGTTTGGCTAAAGTGCAAGTTCCTAAACACAAAAGGGTAAAAATTGGACCAAAAATTGTTGATTGCATTTTCGTAGGATATGCAACAAATAGTAAGGCATATCGGTTTCTGGTTCATAAATCAGAAAATCCCGACATTCACATTAATACGGTAATTGAATCAGATAATGCTGAATTTTTTGAGAATATTTATCCGTATAAAATGGAATGTGAGTCGTCTAATGAAAAATCTAAGCGACCTCGGAAAGAAGCAAAGGAAAGTACGTTTGATGAAGAAAATCCAAGACGTAGTAAACGTCAAAGGATAGCTACTTCCTTTGGACCAGATTTTCTGGCATTCTTATTGGAAAATGAGCCTCAAACGTTCAAAGAAGCAATGTCTTCCTCGGAAGCACAATATTGGAAAGAGGCAGTCAATAGTGAGATAGAATCCATATTAAGTAATCATACCTGGGAATTGGTTGATCTTCCTCCGGGAAATAAACCTTTGGGTTCTAAATGGATTTTCAAAAGGAAAATGAAAGCTGATGGTACTATTGACAAATATAAGGCAAGATTAGTTGTTAAAGGGTTTAGACAACGAGAAGGTCTTGAATACTTTGACACATACTCGCCGGTAACAAGGATTACATCTATCTGGGTGTTAATAGCGTTAGCCGCCGTGTATGGCCTTCAAATCCATCAGATGGATGTAAAGACGACCTTCTTAAATGGGGATTTAGAGGAAGAAATCTATATGGAACAACCTGAAGGGTTTGTAGTCCCCGGAAAAGAAAAGAAGGTGTGTCGACTTGTCAAGTCACTTTACGGACTAAAACAAGCACCAAAACAATGGCATGCGAAATTTAACCAAACAATGTTGTCAAATGGTTTCAAGATCAATGAGTGTGACAAATGTATTTACATTAAGAATACTCCAAATCAAATAGTCATTGTTTGTTTATACGTGGATGATATGTTGATAATGAGTAACAATATTGCTAACATAAATGCTACTAAGCGCATGCTTACTAGTAAATTTGATATGAAAGACTTAGGAGTTGCAGATTCAATTTTGGGAATCAAGATCCTACAGACTCCTCAAGGTCTAGCTTTGTCTCAATCTCATTATATTAAAATGGTTCTTGAAAAGTTCAAATATTTGGAATTTAAAGAAGCANATGAGAATTGAAGAGTGTAATTATTCTCTCCCAATTACACCCAATTCCTAACCAACCAAGTAATTACTTGGTCAAACAAACATGTCAAAGTGTGTAATTACATCCAATTCCAATTTCCATGTGGCTTTCCAAACAGGCACTTAAATAGGAGCAAACAAGCTCCCTGGTGGTCGCAACAAGCATGAGCATTCTGAAATTTGTCAAAACTGGCTAAATTTTAAATAGTTTTTAAAAACTGGATGTGTTTAAATAAGAGTGCTCAAAGAAGCTAGCTAGTGTCATTCCTACGTGGATGTAAAACGAGGATATAAAAGGACTGCAGTCTTATTTCAATTCATAAGAATCTATGCCACATTAATTGAAATATACTATAGTAATATTTTTCAGAGACGACAAAATTATTGATCTCTCTATCCTATTGTGACAAGCAATTTATTTGGTAGTGCGCCTATAACAAGTCATGCAGTTGTAAAGTATGAAAGTAAAAATTATTCCTAACTATATTTTTAAAATATAGAAATGTACCAATATTTTCGAAGCTAACAAAAAGATAATGTGAAATAAATTGGGACTACATTAGTACTTAGGGGTCATTTGGTTCACGATTAATTACGTAGTGATTATAATATAAGAATTGTTATGCAATGAATAATAATATGAATATTTTTGTATGATGAGTAATAATACAAGTATTATTTGTTAGACAATCTGAAATTTTTAAGTGACTAAAAAACAGGAAAAGTAAATGAACAGAAATGGCAGAATTATGTTCCGAGCCCACAAATTCCTTGTGTGTCCTTAAAGAATCTTATCCCCTCACTGTTGCCCAAGGTTAACGGATAAATTCTTCCCAGGATAGAACGAAACTTCCAACTTAGCGGTAGCGGCACTTCAAACCACTAAGTTATCAGCGAACTCAAAATAATGGTGAAAATCACACGACCTTGACTTACTTTGTTTTGAAAGTAATGATGCAGAAAGAAGAAGGAGATGAAGCAGAAGATTTCAAGGTGAAAAATTCTGAATTTAATATTTTGAATGATCGTTATTTGTAACGTTAAATTAATTAATTTCCGTTTTTAATTTTCCCGCGTTAATTAAACAGCCACCAAAGAGAGGCGGCATTTCACGAATAGCCACCAAAGAGAGGTTGCATTTCACGAATAGCCACCTGCAGTGTGAACAGCCACTTTCACACCCTTTCAATCCAGAA